TCACCACCCTCTCCAGGAACAGATCCTGTACAAAATCTATTCCTTCACATTTCCTCAAATTGAGGTCTCCATAAAAGTGTCTGACTGGAGGAGCCCAGGTCATATGCCTACATATTTGCTGGCAATAGAAGCTGAACAATTGAGTTCCGGCTTCAACCTTGTCAAGGCAAGGGTCATAATGTGGGAATTTTCCAATATAAAAAGGGAATTCAGAGTTATTGGCTGGTCACAAATATAACCACTGTCTAGCAAAGTTTGCATGTCTGAAGTGTCTTTGTTCTAATTTTACACTTTTCTTTTTGGATTCTGATGACATTGTTTCACTGAATTCTAGCTTTTAGAAATCCAAAGCCAATTTGTTTTCTGATCCTTTTTGTGCAACCCACTTTTACTCTCTGCATACTTTTGGATATTCTTTTGCCCTTTATTTTCTCAGATTTAATCAAGATGATTGATCTTATTTGTCAACAATTGTTCTAGAACTTCTGCTGTAGAAACTCATGTTCTTCATAGCTGAGAAATTTTCTTAAATAATTTCTTTGTATATTCCTTTCCACTATTTTCAGTTCTTGCTCTGTGGAAATACATTTGGATATTAAACCTCTTGGACTGATCATCTAATTTTGTTATCTTTGCTTTATTTTCCATCTTTTTGTTCACTATATTTTATTTTCCAAGCTTTCCAGCAGTTAATTTCAGAAATTCCTTTGTTCTCTGGATATTCCTTTTATTATAGATTTCTGATATTTTTCCATGGCTGCAGCTTTTCTTTTCTCTCTCTGGAAGTGTAAATTTTAGGGATTTTTTATTAAAGATTCATTTGTGCTCTATGTTGTGTCTGTTTCATCTGAATCCACCTTTCCAGGATATTTTGGTTTCTTTTATGTTAAATGTTTTCCTCATATGTCTAGTTATTCTTGGTGTATGTTTAAGAGATAAGCATTATAGAGTTGCGTTTCCTAGGTAAGACTGGTAGGCTTCACGGAGAGTGCTCTGATAGGGATCCAGTCATTTCTTTTGTGGCTGGGGGCAACTGTCAATATCTAGAGGTAAGAGTATAATAAAAGACTTTAAATTTATGCATCTGTCTCATTTGAAATTAGGGCCCAGGAATTTATGCTGTCTTAAATTTTTTGTTCTTCAGATACATTAAAAATAGAGGAAATAGAATATATAGCAAAAAACTGCATTCCAACCAGCCCAGAATTAACATCTTTATATTACCATGTTTGCTTCAAATTGTTTTTAAAAATAACTTTATTGAAATGTAACTTACATAACAAAAATATCACCCACTTTAAGTGTACAGTTCAGTAATTTTTGGTATATTTACAGAGCTGCGCAACCATCACCATTCCCTAATTTTAGAACATTTTCATCATTCCAAAAGAAACCTCATGCCATTTGCAATCACAGCCCATTTCCATCAGACAACCATTCATCTACTTTGTCTTGATTTGCCTATTCTAGACAGTTCATATAAAATGGATCATATGATATACAGTCTTTTGTGTCCAGTTTATTTCACTCAGCATGTTTTGGAGTTCATCTATATTGTAGCATATATCAGCATTTTGTTTCTTCTTGTGGTTGAATAATTTTTCATTTTTATGAATAGATCACATTTTATTTATGTACTCATCAGCTGATAACATTTGGGTTGTTTTAATCTTTTGGCTATTATGAATGATGCTGTTATGAACATTCATGTACAGATATCTAAGTGGACATTTATTTTTCCTGTGTAGATACCTAGGAATGGAATTGTGTTATATAGCAGCCCTATGTTTAATGTTTTCAGAAACTGTTATGCATTTTCCCAAAGTGCCTGCAACATTTAAAATTTCCATCAGCAAATATATATGAGGGTTCCAATTTCTCAATGTCCTCATGAACACTTGTCTTTTTGTCTTTTCTTTATATAGCACTTCTGGTCAGCATGAAGTCTTATTTCATGGTTTTGATTTGCATTTCCTTAATAACTAGAGAAGCTGAGCATTTTTTCCTATGTTTATTGGCCATATATCTTTTTTGAAGAAATTTCTATTCCAATACTTTGCTCATTTTTTTGAGTTATTTGTCTTTTTGAGTTGCAAGAAGTCTTTGTATGTCCTGGTTACAAGTCCTTTGTTGAATATATGATTTGCAAATATTTTCTCTCAGTCTGTAGGTAATCTTTCACTTTCTTATGTCTTTTGAAGTGCACAAGTTTTAAATTTTGATGAAGTCCAATTTATCAATTTTCTTTATTGCTTGTGCTCTTGGTGTTTTATCTAAGAAATTATTGCCTAGCTCAAGGTCATGCAGATATACTCCTATGTTTTCTTCTAAGAGTTTTCTGGTTTTAGTTTACATTTGGGTCTATAACCAATTTTGGCTTAATTTTTGTGAATGGCATGAGGTAGAGATACAAATTCATTTTTCTGTAGGTAGATATCCATCGTTTCAGCAACATTTGTTGAAAAGACTATTCTTTCACTGTTGTCTTGAAACCTTTGTTAAAATCAATTGGCCACAAATATAAGGGTTTATTTCAGACTCTCAATTCTATTCCATTCAACTACATAGCTATCCTTATACCAGTGTCTTATTATAGCTTTGTATAGTTTTGTATATTAAAGTTTTGAAATGGAGAAGTGTGAGTCATCCACATTTAAAAATTCTTTTTCAAGACTGTATGGTTATTCTGGGTCCTTTATGTTTACTTATCAATTTTAAGATCAGCTTTTAATTTCTGGGGGTTAGGGGTGGGGAGTCAGAGGAAAAATAAGAGATTACACTCAACCCATAGATTAATTTGGTGAGTATTGCCATCTTAACAATACTAAGTCTTCTGATCCATGAATATGGAGTGCTTTTCCATTTATTTAGCTCTTTAACAATGTTTCATAATTTCTACAGTAGAAGTGTGGTACTTTTTTATTCCTAAACATTTGTTCTTTTTGATGCTATTGTGAATGGAATTAACTTTGCAGAATTTTCATTGTGTATAGAAAACAATTGATTTTTGAATAACAATCTTGTATCCTGCAACCTTACAGAACTTATTAGGTCTAGTAGTTTTTTCATGGTTCCTTAAGATTTTCTCTACATAAAATCATTTCATGTATCAATATAGATTTTATCCTTCCTAATTTGGATGCCTTTTCTTTTTGTTACCTAACAGCCCTGAGTAGAAGCTCCAGTGTAATGCTTAATAGAACTAGTGAGAATAGACATCTGGAAGGGTCTTGACCCTACAGCAAGTACTTTTAAATAGAATAAATAAATACTTTAAGTGAAGCAGTCCCTTTCAGATTCAAACCCCAAATCCTAATTTCTTTCTCCTCCCTAGCATCATGGATTTAGTGCATTTTCTGTGGATGTTTTTGTGTGTGCATGTGCATTGTATACTAATACAGAGTACTGTTTTGTGCATCTATTTTTATTTTATATAAATGATTTTACACCAAATAAGCTAACACTTGTGCAATTTTTAAATTCAACACTAACAGATTCAAGATATATTTATATATACCTATATATACCTACATATGTAGTCTGTCATAAGAATATATTTTGTTGATGTATTTCTCTATTGAGGAGTATTTGGATTAGTTTCAGTGTTTTCCCATAAATAATGCTGCATTAAAAACCTTTTATATGTGTCCTTGTAATTATATGTGATAATTTACCTAGGGTAGATCTTCCTAAGCATTATTTTTATGTGGTATAGAAATTATACCACCGTATTTTTAGGTAGTGTAGAAATAATACAAGTTACATTTTGTATATTGTTATGCAACGTCAAGTTGCTTTACCTAGTGATTTTCCTAATTAACACACTCACTAGCAGAGAAGGAGAGTTTCTTTCTTCACACCCCCAGATGTACTTGATGTCAAATATTTAGTTGTTGGTTATTTGATTGGCAAAATAATTTATCTCCTTTTATATTAATATGTTGCCTGTTTCCTGGTGATGTGCTTTTTCATAGATTTAATGGTCTTTCGTGGGTTTTAGTTTTGTAAATTACTAGTTATATACTTCACTCATTTTTTCAGTTAAATTGTTTTTTTTCTGATTTATAAAATTTTCTAAATATTTGGGATACTAATTATCTATTGTATTGTAGCAGTAATTTATGGTGTCTTAATTATTTTGAAAAATAAAGCATAATCATTTATTCATCTTTTCAATTGTGATTTGTTCCCTTCCTGTTTAAGTAATCCACTCTTCCACGAAGTCACAAAGATTCATTTTCACTGTTTTCTTTGTGTTTCATCTTTATTAGTTTCACCCATTTAGAATTGTGCTGTTGTTGGGAGGTAGGGATCTGTATGGTTGTTAGAATTTTTGGTATAAATCTAATTGTCTACCACCATTTAACCCACCGAATTGGAATACTCCACTCTTATATGCCAAGTTCAAATATAAGCACGGATCTCTTTCTAGACTTTCTATTTAAATCCACTAATTTGCCCATTTCTGTGCCAAAACTATAGTTTTAATTTAATTAAGTAGCTTTACACTTAGTATTGATACTTGGTAAGACAAGTCCCCATGTCTTTATTCATCTTTAAAATTAGTAGAGCTAAACCTCAGTATTCATTTTAGAATAAATGTGTCAAGTTCCATAAAAATCCTGTTGATCTGAATTGAAATTGCATGAAGTTAAAATAAATTTGGGGGTGGACACAGCTCCCATTTTGGGCATTCCCATCAATTAATTGGTATATTCCTCCATTTATTCAGATGTTATATGTATTTATAAAGTTTCAGAATTTTACTCATAATGATAATGTATGTTTCTTTAGATATATTCTTCGGAATTTTAAAATTTTTGAGTGCTTTGTAAATGGACACTTTTTCTATTAACTTTTATTATTTATTGATCTTATATCTCTTTCCAAACCTTATTCTTATTTTCTATTAGTTTGCTAGCTTGATCATTGATCCAAAGCTTTTCATATAGATGATATTTTCTGAAAAAAATACAAAAATTATTACCTCTTTTCCAGTAGTCATAGCTTTTATTCTTTTTCTTTCTTTCTTTTTGTAGCTGGGCAGGAATGGCAGTCTTACATAATTAGATATAATCTCCAGTAAAATGTTGAATGTTGACTTAGTAGAAATTATACCCTCATTTTGGACTTTAACAAGGGTGGCTCTAAACTTTAACAATGAGTTACATCCTATCATTTATCACCTTAAGACACACTTTTGAGACTAACAGGGACCAAGGGAAATCAGACATAAATCAGGACTCTATTAACTAATCAAGTAGTTGAAAAACAACATAGAATATTTGAGCAATGCAATCTAAAAATTGACTTAATTGGCATATATTGAACTTCTGTACTCCCAAACTGCAGAATCGAATTTTTTTCAAGCTCTTCATAAATTTCACAAAATTGGCTATAGAACTGTGGCCATAAAACAAGTTTTAGCAAATGTAAGAGGATAGAAAGCAGGTTCCCTGACCATAAAATAAAGTTATAAATTACTTTAAAAAAGATAACTAGAAAAATCCCCAATTTTATAAAATTAAAAATGCATTCTAAATAAAACTTTAACTTTCGAAAGAAGTAAAAATGGAAATTAGGAAATACTTTAAATGAGAGCAAATATTCTATATTCTGAAACCTGTGAGATGTTGGTAAGCAATAGTAAAAGGGAGATTTGTAGTTAAATAAATACCTAGGAAAAGATAGGAGACTGGAAAATTAAATGAACTAAGCATCTAACTTCTCTAGAAGTTAGAAAAAGAATACAGCAAAGAAAGTAAAAGAAAGAAAATTTCACCAGTAGAAGACTGGTGAAAATGGGAAAGACCAGAGATCAAAGTCACACTAATACCAGAAAAGATAAAGCAGTCATCACTACAGATGCTGTGCATGTAAACAAAAATTTGGTAAGTAAAGTGTGACAAGTTTAAGCCAATATGTTTTAAAATTCAGGGGAAATAAGTAAATTCTTAGAAAAACATAACAGCAAAATTGACAAAAGAGAAAATAGAACACTGAGTATATCTATAACCATCAAGGAAACTGAAGTGCTAGTCAAAACCCTCTAAACAAAGAAAACCTAGACCCAGCAAATTTTCAAGGAAGAAGTACTTCCAAGCTTAGACAAATTTTCCCATAGAAGAGAAAGTATTTTCCAACATGTTCTATAATATAAACTTTATTAAAGAAGTCTCAAATAAAGACATATGAGAAAGGAAAATAATGGGCCAATCTCACTTAGGAACATAGGAGCAAAAGTCCTAAATAGAATCTGAGTAAACAGATTCCTGCAATATATTCATCATGATCAAGATGGGTTTATTTCAGTAATGAAAGGTTAGTTGACAGTTAAATAAATTAATGTAATAATACACACAAACAGACTAAAAGAGAATCTCATTAGATGCCGAGAAATGTTTGATAAATTTGTTATCCATTTCGCAAACTAAAAATTGTGGGGGGAAATTTTAATTGAATAAAATGCACTGACCCAAAACCTTCAGTAAAAATCATACTTAACAATGAAATTTGAAAGCTTTCCCGTTAAGATCAGCCTATGATCTCACTGGATGTCCGACCTGACATAAGGCAGCAGGGGAAAAAAGGAGTGGGAAAAAGACTGGGAAGGAGAGAGAAAGCTATCCTTATTCATAGATATGACAATCTACATAAAAAATCCCAGAGTTATGAGTTAACTATTTTAATTAATAAGAGGGTTTAGCATGGTCTCTGCATTAAAATACAATATATAAAAAACAATCATATTTACATATACCAGCAACAAACAATTGAACAATCAAATTAAGAAAGAGGTCACTTATTAAAGCATTAAAAATTGAGCAGCACCTAAGGCTAAAGCTAACAAAAATTTACAAGATTTCTATGGAAGCAATAATATAAATTTACTTAGAAGCAATTAAAGACCTAATAAATGGGAACACATAACCTGTTAATAGATTTGAAGACTCAATATTTAGAACTGTCCATTTCTTCTTAAACCGAGATTCAGTGATCCCAATCAAAATCCCAAAAGTAATTTTGTAAAATGTGACATTTAAGATTTTATATTTAAGTGCAAAGGGCCAAGAAGAGCCCAGCACTCAGAAGAGAGGGACAAGGCCAGGCTTGCTTCACAGGATTATTCCAAGAGCCTCTATCACACCACGCATAAAACAAATTTCTAATGGGCCTGTGAAAGGCATGACTATAAACCCTTCAGAAAATAGTATCTGACAATACCAATGTAACCTCAAAGTAGGGAAGAATTTCTTAAGAAATACCATGCAGTAAGCAAAAAGGAAAAGACTGATAAACTGAATTACCCCAATATTAATGCTTTTGCAGATCAAAATATACCAAAAAGAAAAGCCAATAAGTGGAAAATATATATGTAGCACAAATAACTGACAGAGAACTGGGGCCCAAAGTATTACGAACTCATAGAAATCAATCTAAAAAGAAGATAATTCAGTAGAAAGATTTAAACAGATATCCCACAAAAGAAGAAATTCAAGTGAACAACAAACAAAAAGTGATTAGCAATGAAGGAAAAGCAAATTAAGACCTCCATAAGATATCACTATAAACCCACCAGATTACCTAGAATTAAAAGTTGGACGATATCAAGTGTGGTGAGATTACAGAACAAGGAGAACTCAACCTGCTGGTGGGATATATAAATGAAACCCGTGCACCTCTACACATTTACAAAAATGTACACAGTAGCATTATTTGTAATATCACCATACTGGGAACATAATTATTAGAATAAATTATACTGTGTAGTTTTTTAATTGAGCACTTTATTGTAGAATTAGAAAGAACAACAAATAATATAAATCTAAGAAAAGCTGGTGGAACAAATAAGTGACATTAAGATTAGAAATTAAGGAATTGGTTAGTATTTGTAAAAGCTTAATGGTAAATAGATCCAAAAAGATAGACCCCTGCAAAAGCAAAGCTAGTCAAGAGGAAAAAAAGTGTATTTGGTAGGAATAAGTGAAAAAGTAGGAATAAGAAAAAAGGTACAGTAACATAATATTTTAGGAAAATACATGATATTCAAAGGAAGCTAAAATTTAAAACATTTTAATTGACATCACTGAAAAAAGTAACAACTATGGAATAAACTGGAAATAATTTTTTAAATTAATAAATAATCATTCTTCCTCCCAAGCTGTTGGGCCCAGATGTCCTCATGGGGGTAGCTTGATGTTGGGAATCAGGGTGCAGAGTATAAACAGCCCAGTATACTGTGTATTTTTACCCAATTAAATTCTATATAGTGTACAACAGCTATATAAAAGCAAAACATAAAAGAAAAGCATACAATTCATTTACATAAATATTTTGAACACTTTACATGATTCATTTACATAAACATTTTGAACATTTATATGAAGTTCAAAAATTAGAAAGACTATATATCATTTAGAAATGAGTACATAGGCATTTATTGAAACTTATTTGGGGGCTTTACAGTTAATTTTATGAATGTCCAACATTTTTTAAAAATAATGTATATTTTGTTTTGGTTGAAGAATTTTATATACATATAAACGTGACATATAAATATATATGCAAATATAAATACAGTAAGCATACATTATCTATGCACACAATGCATCAATGTTGCTAATTTTGTTTCATCTGGGAGAGACTGCCATTAAAAAAAATTCCCACCATTACAGATTTGTCAGTTTTACCTTTTAATTCTTTATTATTGCTTCAAAATTTCCAGACCATGCAATTAGTTACATATATGTTCATGATTTAACGTTTTCCTAGATTTTTCTTTGGAATGCAGTAAGATGCCCCACAAATGTCGTTGTTAATGCTACTCAAAGAATACTTTTGATAATTAATTTGCTACACAAAGTTTTTTGTTGTTTTTTAGTATTTGCCTGGTACGTCTTTTTCTATCCCTTTATTTTCTATATTTTAGTTCTTTCATTTTAACTGTTTTTTTAATATGCTTGCTTTTAATTATCTTAGTAATAATGGAGTGGCCAGCAAGTGATAGGTAGCTATGTGCTTGGATTGGGTAAGAGGTGGTTAAATTATAACATTATCTAGTAATCTAGCCTGGACCATCAGCAAATTTCATTTTGAGGCTGTTCCCAGGAAATCATCTCTCTGGGTCCCAAAGTATCTTCAATTAAAATCAGGATTTGTTGGTAGAAGGCAAGCTACTTTATTTTTCTATCCTTTTCACTTATCAAAATAGATTAAAGCACCAGCTTTATATATATACATAATTAGAAAATTAATCATTTTTAGGTTAAAAATAGAACAGATGCTATCATTTATACTATTTTAAGTGTAATTTCTAACTTGTGAGCATTAAGTTTTTTTCCTCTGTTTTCTTACTAAAAGCCTCAAGCAAAATTTTCACATTTTGTGGGCTGGTAACTTTGTAATGAAAGGGTTTACTAGAATTGGAGAAAGTGATTCAATTAGAAGTGGATTAAATTAGAGTTGTGACTGGATTCAGGGTGGGGCTGACTGAATTAGAATTTTGATGGTATGTATAGAGCCTAATAATCACATGATTTTCATTTAGAGATTCTTTCCTGAAAAGAAATCATCTTTCTGTGTCTTGGCATATCTTCACTGCAAATCTGAATTTCAGACTAGCAGAATGTTAATTATTTTTTTCCTTAAAATATAAAAGAGATTAAGACAATAACTTTTTACATAAAAATGTGACTTTCTCCAGTTAGAACTCATCATTCATTCACTCATTTGGAAATCATTATGGGCACCTATTGGTGCCAGGCACTGTCTCAGATGCTCGGCTTACATCACTGGGCAATACAAAGATTCTTGCATTTGTAGAATTTAATTCTGTATGAGACAGAGAAAGAAAGAATAAAACAAATTTATATAGGATTGAATAAGGATCATACTATACAGGATCATGGATGATATGTGCTACACAACAAAGAAAAGTAGAACAGGTTAAGGGAGATAAGGAGTGCAGGAGGTTGGGGACCAACGTAGAGGATGGCTGAAACTTTAAATAGGGCTGTCATGGTTGGTTGAGCTGATTTGAACAAAGACTTGAGTAAGACAGGTAAGAGTATTCTTGGCTGAGGAAATGGCTAGTGCAAAGGCCCTAAGATAGGAGCTATGTTCAGACAACACCAAGAGAGGCACAAGCGACACAGGAAGTTAACTAGATAGGGGAGAGTCTTGTAGGTCAGTGTGAGTCCTTTGACTTTTACTGTAAAGGGAATGGGGAGCCAATGCCTCCCCACTGTCTGACTTGATCCCCTTTTCTCCCAATCCCATTCAATAATATTATTAATTTAAAAGAATTATTGCCAATTTGATGCTGTAATGTGGTAATTCATTGTTAGTTTACTTTCATTTTCATAATAGGCAAGTTGAGTGTCTTTTATGTTTGTTGTCTATTTGGAATTGATTCTTCACCTTTTTTTACTGGGTTGTATTTATGCATATTACTATTAGTAATAGTACTACTAGCAGTAAAGTTTTGTATGTTATAGGAATAACAGAATTTACCTGCTAATTGAATATTTATCTTTTGACTTAATTTGGGGTATCTTCTGCCATAAAATTAAATTTTTATATAGATAAAATTTTTAAGTTATTTCTCTTATAGCTCTTAGGTGTCCCACCTTGATCAAAAGGGCTTTACAAACCCTAGGTTGTACAAATAGTCTCTTAAATTTCCTTTTTAAATTTTTATAATTTTGTTTTCTTTTGGATGTTTAATTCAACTGGATATATAGTGTTTGTATAAGCACTGAAGCTGGAATTCCTACATCCTGCCATAGGAATAATCAGTTTTGTAATTACAGCTATTATATAAAACATCCTTTTTACATTGATTAAAATAGTAACATTGTCATATTAAAATAAAGGAGCACTTTTTTTGACAGTTGCCTAATGATTCTCTTTTGTGAAGCTTACATTATAGGCATGTTTAGGCTAAATTTTCTTTTTGTTCTTTTTCTTCTTGAGGGAGCATTTTTTAAGGCTAAGATATACTACACCATATCCAAAAGCTGGTAAGAATGATCTGAAAGGGATGGATTCACAGACAATGAAAAATAGGAAATACAGCAGGACGCCAGTTACTAAGGAAGCTAGAGAACTTGGAACCCAGAGAACAAAGGAGAGGGTTTGGGGTCACCACACATGGAAAACTGAGGGTACGGGCAAACTCAAAGGCAGCTTGGTAGATTTGCCTGGGGGAGATATGTAGTCCTTGTTGAAGAGCTGCTTTTCCCAGAGAAGTCAGAACATCATCGACTCCTGGGAAAGATGGTCAGGAGGGAAAAGTGGGTGGAAGAGGTGTGTAGATTTGAGCGAAGGGGAATGTGGGAAATCATATTATTGCAGAGTGGGAGTACAAAATTAAGAGTATAAGAGGATTAGCAGGAGAATTAAGGGCTCAAATAGAATTTTGTATTAATAGAATTAAAATGAGAATTATGTAAGATTTTTGCCAGCAAAGGCAGCTGATAGGATGAATTCTGAGTTTTTAGTAAACTTAATTTTAGTTTCTTTTTCTAATACTTTCAAAACATTTAAGCCAAAAGTTTGTAGTTTTCTTATTCGTACTTTCAAATCATTTACATAAACTTTTTACTTAATACTTACTAACACTTTAATTTTCTTATTTCTTATTAATACTTTCAGACCATTAAGTCAAAGCTTTAAATTTCACGAACTGATTATATGTTGCTATTAATGAAATTACAGGAGTGGTTATTTAATCATGGTTGGTTATCAAAAGATTAGGTGGTGGGCTAGGTGTTAAATGAGTCAGGGTCATTAATTCAGAGCTGATAAAGGCCACTGGAACAAAAACCAAGGGTATTTTCTGTAATGGTGTCAGCACCTTGTCATTATTACTTCATTTCTCCACTTCATAGTGCAACAATCATTCATTCATTCAACAAATACTTACTCAGCACCTATTATGTGCCACGCACTGTTCTATATGCGGATGATATACAGGTGAACAAGAGACAAGGTTCCTGTTTTCCTGGAACTTATGTTCTAATACAGGAAGATAGACAATAATAATAAAATAATATTAATAATAATAACAGCTAACATTTAGCAAGTATTGTTTGTTGAGACAGTTTTAAGCACTTTATAAGTATTCATTTAATTCTTACATCATTGTAAGGTAGAGACTAGAATTATCTTCATTCTGTACATGAGGAAACTGAGGCACAGAAAAGGAAAATAACCTGCCTAAGGTCACAGAGCTAGCAGAGGGCAGAGCTGGAATCTCAAACCAAGAGAGTCAGGCTGTAGAGCTCTTTCTCTTAATGACTTTGCTATGCTTCCTCTCAGACAAGAAAAATGGCAGTAAACAATGAAAAGAGTAAGTTCAGGATTGTTTAGTACTATGACAAAATAATAAGGGGTGATGCAACGGTATTTTTGTGTTGGAGGTGAAAATGTAGATATGAGGGAAAAACTCATGGAGGTGACATCTGAGCTGAGACCTGAAGGATGGTGATCTGTTATCGTGGGACACAGGCAGCAGAGCAAAGACACCACAGTGGAATCTTTCCTTGTTTTGTGAAGCAGAAATGCCCAGCCGGCTGTAGCTAGGGCTTAGTATGTAAGAGTGATTGATTGGAAGTGAAGTCAGAGATAGTCAGGAACAAGAGCCCATGGGGCCTCTGGTCACATTAAGGAATTTGATTTTTTATTCTAAAATCACTAGATTTTTATGCAGAGAAGCAACATTACCTGATTCATAACTTTGAAAGATCAGTCTCACTGCTATATTGACTTTAGGACAAAAGTGGAAGCGGCAACACCTCCCTTCACACTAGAACGTAGGCTTCTTTAAAAAATTCAACTTTTAACCAACAATACAAATACAACCTTTGCTTTGAAGACTAGTATTTTTGCGGGAATGGTACCTTTATAAAGATCGTGGTTGCCCCCGTATATATTTGTTCTTTCTTCAAATCCAGTTAAATGAAAATACCAGTTATTCAGCCCAACTCTCTAGGCTCGCTGGGTCTAGCTCAGCAGAAACGAAGCAGGAGCCGGTGGATCTATCAGTTGGGTGCAATCCTTTTCTACGCTCTCTGTCGCTGGTCGGGGATGTGGACGCTCTCTGTCGCTAGCCGGAGATGTGGAGTCGGCTAACCGGAGCTTTCTGTCCACGAAAGGGTCTAGGAGGGGATCGGAGAAGGAAAAGACGGAAGAGACCTCTAGGTACACAACCGCGCTCAGAGCCTTCTCTAAAGCACTGGTTTCAAACGCCCGGCCTCTCGAACGCCTAGGCTCGGCCCCACGCCATCGTCATGGCAACGTATGGCTTCCGCGGATTGGTGGCTGCCTCCGTCTATGACGTGCGTTGGAAGAGCCCGTGTTTGCTTCCGGATCTTGGGCTTTGGCGCAGGGGTTTCTGGGAGTCGCGAGTCGTGGTGTCTGTATATGAGGTGCGGAGGTCGCTCCGTGGGACCTCGGTCAACGTGAGTGACAGGAGGCTGACGAATTGTCTTCCTTGTCCACGTGGGGCGGAAAAAATAAAAAGAGTGCGGTGGGTTCGGGGTTGGCGGCGAACGCTGCTTGGGAGCTGCGGGCAGCGGCGGAGCCCGGCGGCTGTCGGGCGCCGCGCCGCGGGAAGGCAGCTGTGCGGGAGGCTAAGCGGGTTTCACCGGCTTCGCCCCACAGCGGGTCAGGCCTGGGGGAGGAGTCGGCGACTCCTGGTACAACCCGAAGGCTCCCTGCCCCGAGGCGGGAGTGATGATTATTCGCCGGTGGGGGGGACGTGGGAGGCAGTGGTGTCCCCGGGGCAGAAAAACCCAGTTTCTCCCTCTCTGGATACATCCCCTTTCCTCTTCTGAAAATCTAGAGAAGTAAACCAGTTCCCCCAGCTCCCCCACACACTTGCTTTTCCAACATTTGACGGGTTTGGGGAGCCATATGTGCTGGGCGGTACTCTTTTGGCTGCTCAAACCCAGAAGTACCATGAACACTTTTGGTTATCAGAATCATTTAGGGTGAGGTTCCTGGCTTTTGGACATTCAGTAAATTATAACCTGCAAAATACAAGATTTTTATTACTATGATTGCTGTAAGAGAAAATTGCAGCAACAAAAAGTTGTTGGAGAATTTTGCCTATGTAGCTGTCATTGAAATTTAGCACGTTTTTCTCCAAGACAGTAACTTTGTCCAGGGATTTTGAAAGTATTTTTCTTTGTTTTTGTAACCTATTTTCTGTTGTATAAGGTGCAAACTTTAGGGAGTCTGGTGGAGTAAGGTTGAGCTGAGAATTTTTAAAACTCGGTCATGGCTGTACTGAATTTTACAAGTCTAATAATCTTTGTATCTCAAAGATATCTCAAGTCTAATAATTCTTATAGTAATCCCATTAGGAATATCCCCATTCCACAGGAACTTGCATTAGATAATTTGCCCAGGGCCACAGAGCCAGAAGGAGAACAAGAAACAAGCTCATCTTCATGACAGAATTGTTTGCACTAATTAAGAACTGCTTAAGAAGCTGTATTCCTCTATTCCTGAGACTCATTATTTGTTTTCTTGAGAGCTTTTGTTTGAGATGAAAGTAAAATTTGGAGAACAAGTTTTGGAAATGATTTCACAAGTTGGATATTTGTCAATACTTTATATAATGAAAGTTTATCATATTGGGAATAACTTGATACCGTTTTTCTTCAAAGTGTAAAAGATGAAGACAGCAGCTAGGCCAACTTTTGAACCTGCAAGAAGTGGAAGAGGAAAAGGAGAAGGTGATTTGAGCCAACTCTCAAAGCAGCATTCAAGTAAAGACCTGCCTTCTCATACAAAGATCAAATACAGGTAGTGAAGACTTTTTTTCTTGTTCACAAGGCAAGGCCTAAAGTGTTGCATGACACAATCATGAACTAGTATGTTTGGGTCATACCACGTATCTATTTTCATAGGAGTAGAATGCAATAAAGTTGTCTAACACAAAAATTACACTCTCTGGTTGTGGAATGCTACCAGATATTCCTTATGTAGAAATTCCTATTAATTGGAAATTTCCCTGTGTGGATTTAATAATAACTAATATATTACCTCAGAGGGTCCTTACACTATTAGGACTAATCAATAAGGGATTAAAAGTATTACAGTAAAGAGCCCTGAATTGCCATAGTAACAAAAAATAAAAATATTTTAGTCAAATCTACAGCATTATTGTAGGAAAATATGTGATTCGCCTGCACTTTTTGAGATACTGGAAACAACACGGATCCTGTTAGTAACCTTCAGATTATCATAGTGATCTTGTCCAGTGTTCTCTTTTATTCTTGAGGAATTTAGGAACAAAGCTCTTTTTTGTGGATTGTCTTCCACTGTTACAGCCATGTGTTTTTTGTTTTTTGTTTTTTTTATTTTGGTATCATTAATCTACAATTACATGAAGAACATTATGTTTACTAGACTCCCCCCATTACCAGGTTCCCCCCACAAACCCCATTGCAGTCACTGTCCAGCAGCGTAGTAAGATGCTGTAGAATCACTACTTGTCTTCACTGTGTTGCACAGCCCTCCCTGTGCCCCCCAAATTATACATGCTAATCATAATGCCCCCTTTCTTTTTTCCCTCCCCTTGTCCCTCCCTTCGCACCCATTCTCCCCAGGCCCTTTTCCTTTGGTAACTGTTACTCCATTCTTCCTCAGTGAGTCCTCTACTGTTTTGTTCCTTCAGTTTTTCCTTTGTTCTTATGCTCCACATATGAGTGAAATCATTTGGTACTTTTCTTTCTCCGCTTGGCTTATTTCACTGAGCATAATACACTGTAGCTCCATCCATGTTGCTGCAAATGGTAGGATTTGTTTTCTTCTTATGGCTGAATAATATTCCATTGTGTATATGCACCACCTCTTCTTTATCCATTCATTTCCTGATGGACACTTAGGTTGCTTCCATATCTTGGCTATTGTAAACAGTGCTGCAAATAAACATAGGGGACATAGGGCTGCATATGTCTTTTTCAAACCGGGCTGCTGCATTCTTAGGGTAAATTCCTAGGAGTGGAATTCCTGGGTCAAATGGTATTTCTATTTTGAGCATTTTGAGGAGCCTCCATACTGCTTTCCACAGTGGTTGAACTAATTGACATTCCCACCAGCAGTGTAGGGGAGGGTTCCCCTTTCTCCACAACCTCTCCAACATCTGTTGTTGTTTGTCCTTTGGATGGTAGCCATCCTTACTGGTGTGAGGTGATATCTCATTGTGGTTTTAAGTTGCATTTCTTGATGACTAGTAATGTGGAGCATCTTTTCATGTGTCTGTTGGCCATCTGAATTTCTTTTTTGGAGAACTGCATGGGTCGCGGGCGGCGGGCGGGGTAGGAGTGGGCGGCGGGCCAGACCTCCGCGGGCTGCTGGCCGCGGCCGGCGTGGGAGCGGAGCGTCCGGGCTGCCCCGCGCTGCGCTCCTCCGGCGGCCGGCCTGTGCCTGCAGTCCGGGTCGGAAAGGAACTGGAGAGGCGGCTTTCACACCCATGCGATGCCGTCCTACCCCGCGGCTCCGCAGGGGGCGGGGGTGGAGGGAGGACCGGTCACCGCCCTTTGGCACCCCACGCGGGCTCGTGTTAGTCCGCAGGAATCAGCGCGCGGGCTGCCGACTGCTTTCCAGGGGCTGATGGAGGTTCACTCCGGTATTGTTGCGTTTGCTTGGCTTCATTGCTCCGCTGAGTGGGGTGGAGGCGGGGGGTGAGGGGAGCGGGGGAGCGGGGGATGAAAAGATTTCTCTTAAGACCGATAAAAGCTTTATCAGACATTAACAGCCGCCACTTGGTAATATAATCGGTTTATTTTTCTCCAAACTCTGTCTTTGCATTTCACTAAATGGGAAACAGTTGAGGCGCTGCTGCTTGTCCAGTACAAATGAATTTAGATTGCTGAGCTGGGCAAATGCACCGGGACTGAAAGACTGAAATGAATACTCACCATTTTTAGTCAATTTCTCTAAATACCGTTCAGTTGGGGTTGTTCTGTATATATTAAAAATAGAAAGAAAACACGTAAATAAACAAGCCCAAATATTTGCTCTCTTTGTCCAAATACTGTTTTTCTTTCTCTGTGGGCCAGGCCAAGTGCCAAAGTTGCTTTTCAAGCCTCGTTTCCCTGCAGTAGGGCTGCCTTTTTTTTTTTTTCTGTCTTTCTTTCCTATTTGAGAGCCTGAAGAAAGCAAAAAGATGGCAGATTTGAAGTTGATTGAACAGTTAAATGTGCCTTAAATTGTGTTTATTGGGTATATTTTTCTTGAAATAGTTTTTATTAAATGTGCATGTTGAGTATGTGCAGTTATTTTTTTCCATAAACTCTGGCATCAAATTAAACTTGATACTTGCTCAGCTTATTGTAGGGCAGCTTATGAGAAATGTAATTGATCAGAAGGGCAGATCAGCTTCGTTGAATGTTAACTTTACTTTCAGGGCCAGATGTCTGTCACTTGAACTCAGCTTTTTAAAAAATAATGATTACTATTATTTCCTCACTTTAAAAGTGATTAAGTTATATATTTAACATGGAGAGTATTGAGATGTTTGCTTAAAGTCAAGCCTGATTAAGTAACAGCTAGGTTTTTTTTTTTAACTGAATAAAGAAAAAAGAACTATATTGACTTTTTTTTTAATGACTGGCAATTCGGTAGGCCAGTGTTTGGAAGTGATATTAGGCTTCAAAATCTATTTTGTCTTTCTTTTGAGATAACCATGGTTATGGATCCATCATATTTTGCTAGCTTTCTTTATATTTCTTAGCTTTTAAGAAACTGTTTCTGTCGACCTAGAAAGAACATCCTTATTTCTAGCCATTATTGAAAGAAAGGTATATGGAAAATGGATATTCACCATTTTCATATTTTATAATTGCTATGCACACCTCTGCTAGTATTCCAGTTTTTAGTAACTCCAGGGTATTTAATATTGATTCACGCAATAGCATGAAGTAATTATTTTAGATGAAAATGGGATTGTTTGAGCCAGGTATGACATGACTTGGCAACATTTGTTGCTTTTTAAGAGTGCCATTCTTAAGTGCTCT